TCCAAATTGCTAACATTTTGCTATTAGGGTATATAATTATATATAATTGTATATAAAATATGTCAACTTTTTTGTATAATTATATATTATAGTTTTATATAATTTTATATAATTACATATAATTGTAAGTGAACATCGGAATTAATCGTAGAATGTATTTCCTTTCATTTTATATATTAATTGCAACATACACATATATCAATCAAATAAAAAATTTAACTTCCAATTGTGTCTCATAGGCAGTACTACTTTTTTCTGAATTTACGTAATCTAAAGTAATATCGAATTGTAGTAGATTTGCAGTAAAAATAATTAGCGACGCTAAAAGATTAACACTAGAAAAAAGAAAAGTTGATAGATGTTACATAGTCGCTTGTCATACAGACTCGCTTTGAACGAGGCAGGTGAACAACATGTGTAACATGCATGTCGTATGCGCCGTTCGCGTAGGTGCATACAATGCCGTTACGGCAAAAGAAGAAAAATACATATTACCTATAATCGAGCGGTGAGTTTCTTCGGGGAAAAAATTATTCACCTGCACTTGATCATATCGATCCTTTGTTATTAACCGCCTCTGTACTATATTTAGCTGTCTTTCCATTAAAGCATAATCAAAGCGCATTGGAACGGATGCTCATATTTTTTTTTTCGAATTACAAAAGGAAAGATTCTCCATTTAAAGAGAGAAGGAATCAAATTAGATCTGAAATCATTGTGATTAGAAGGAGGAAAAAGAAAAATTATTCTTGCATTCGAAATCGGCGTAAAATGATGATGCGATTGCTAAACTGCTTATCTTACGAGGAACTGACACTCGACTACGTGCGTGTCATTAATTGCGACCAGTTGACACCAATTATGAGACATACGCTCGCAATGTATTCTTAATGATATAACCAAGTGGACCGCGTAAAAAATATTTTTGTAGCTATTGTAAGGCATTATATAGGCTTAATGTTATACACTATACGATATTTCTACAGTTTAAATTTTTTTAAACATAAACTCTTTATATTGTAATATTTAGAAGAAACTGATGGAACAACTAATGATGGAAAAGCTCTTTTTTTTTATCTTTATCTTTATCTTTATCTTTATTCTTTATAATTAAATTATGTATTCAAAAGGAAAAAAAAGTAAAAAAAAGTTTTTTTTAATAATAATTATAAAATTAGTGCAACAACATCACAAGAACTTTACGGTACATTTAAAGAGGTTGTAAGGCAAATGCAATATGTTAAGAATTACTTGAAAAAATTACAGATTATTCTAAATTGCATTTAAAAGTAATACAAAAAAATTAGAGACAGTTGACCATCTAGATTAAAAATTATTTCGATAAAAAGTAATATTTTTAAAATTTGTACTCTAATAGAAATATATGAAAATGTATTATAAAATAATGATAAAAATCTCAATTTTTTTATATAGGTATTTTATGAATTCAAAAATATTTATGTAAAATTACATTGAGATTCAGACATTAATTGTTCAGTAAATAAACAATAAAAATATTTATTTGTTAATAAACTAATAAATATGTTATAAACTAATTGGGAATCAATGAAACTTTACATAAGTCATTTTTGGTATTTAAAATATTTATATAAAAAAATTTAGATTTTTGTTATTTAAAAAATTTTTGTTTATAACAATAAAAATAATATCAAATAAAACAAATAATAAATTTATAAAAATGTGTTGTTCAAATAAACAGAATGTTATGAACACAACTTTCACATGCATATAGTTTGTTTAAATAAATATGTAAATATTAATATATGTGTTTTATACTCTTACAACTTCCTTTAATCAGTATCGTATTATTATAAAATTAAGTTATGGAACGTGATAAATATAGCATTATTATTTCAGTAGATATAGAATCAACAAATATCTCTCACATACATTTTTTGCATTAGACAATATACAATTATTAAATACAGATATTTCGTCATATTTTCAAAAGAATTTTAAAAAATGTTCATGTATTAAATATTAAATATTACACTAAAAGCTTTGCTCATTATTTTATGATAGAGATATTATTATTACAACATTATTACAACATAAATTAATATCAATTCTCACTCATATAATATAGATTAATAAATAGTAAACTCAGGTCAACAATTTCAACGAGCTATAATTAGATGTAACAAAGCAATATTTATTATTCACAATTATAATTTTCGATGATAAATCAACGGTACATTTTGACTATATTTATAATTAGTTCTCATCAGCAACAGAAATACATAATTATTCTATATATCAAAATTAGAATAACATATTATGAGAATCATCTCACCTTCGAGTAACCGTCTATTGTAACAACGTACCATTGAAACTTATCGTCGAAAATTATAATTGTGAATAATTATTTTGTTACATCTAATTATAGCTCGTTGAAATTGATCTGGGAACTATTTATTAATCTATAATAACATGATTATACATGAAGCAAAAGAGAACCAAATCATCTTTTTAAATTCTTCACACACATATATATATGTGTAATAAATATAATAATTAAATCTGTTTTTATATAAGTACATATGTAGTGTATATGCAGATATATGTATTATTTTCTTACAGAGTAAAGTCTACAAAACAAAATAAAACGAAATCCTTGGATTATAAATTCTATTCTTCTGCAATGTTGCAAAATACACTTTTTCACTAATTGCTTTTAATCTTTTCTTTATATAGAATTTAACGAATAATAATCAGCATTTGTATTGTTTGCGCGACAATTTATATTATGAAATTTCACCTTGTTCCAGTCGATTGATAGACTTAACATATCTGTATAAGGGCAGTAAATGCACGCACATATGTATGCGCATGTGTACATATTCGAGCAGATAAGAGAGGTATAGAAGCAAAGATATAAAAACCTAATAGCTGCCTGACGCATGCTCCGTTTCAGGTTCTGGTTGTGGGGTAATATCCAGTCGGGTAAGAGAGCTTCGTCAGGTCCGCGTCGATCATTACTTGACGGAGCGCAGAGCCCGTCAAAGACGTGACGAAAGAGAAAATGAAGATTTACCCGTTTCTATCAGTTTTTCATCGCCCCGTTCGACATTGCGAATATTGAGGCATATCATCCCTATATTTCTATTCCATCAAGGGAGTCAAGTCCATGTCCGTAAAGTCCGTCAACGAGTCTCCTAGTACCGAAGGATTTCGTCGCAGCGACCGGTTGCTCGACTCGGGATAGCTCGCTATCAGATCCAGGCCTTTATCAACAATTAAATAAACCCGGCCGACTGCAGACTCGCCTTAAGCCTTGAACGACTTGCATCCACGTCATCGACATCCCCGGAATATACGCGCGTAGAGACCAGTGTATGTTGCGTGTAGGTGTGCGTGCGGTGAAACAATACACACCTGTGGCACATCCGCCTGCATCCGCCGTCGTATTTACGTGGTCTCTGTCATATGTATTATTGCGATTAGAAATTTAGCAATGATATCGTTCATCTCGGCGGCCGTTTCAAATGCCGATTGGATGCTGGAATCAAAACCGGTGTAACTACGGTAAGTTCTACTAATGTGCGATCATGGAATTGGATTAAATGTGAATAATAAATTAGATAGATGCATAAAGAATTCATCCGCACGCAGATAAAATGTAGTATTTATTTTTTAAACGTAGGCAATTTAAATGCATAACATAATATATGTTTTAAATTTTGTTTAAAATTAAATCTATTTGTATTACATGCTGTAGAATTACTGAAGCATAGATTTTATGTTAGAAATCGCAATTTATCATTTACAATTACCCCATTCATTTGTACGAACTAGTTCAATACATAAATACATAAATAATCTAAAAACATGAATAAAAATATTAATAATAAAGAAAGAAAATTATAAATATCTTCTTAAAAAATTATACTGTAAACAAGATTTATTTTCGTTCAGAAATGATTTAATATATATCCGATATCATATGTTTTATATAATATTGCTATGTTTATATTGCTATGTTATATAATATTGCTATGTTTATATAATATTGAAATCTGAAAGTATCAAAATTATATCGGTTTCAACCTCTGTTTTTGTCGATCATTGATCAATATATGCGCGAATAATTCGAAAATATGAGGGATCGAACGTATAACATCTTGTTAGTGAATTAATATCAAGCCAATGATCAAACAAAATAGAGAAAAAAAGAGAAAGAGAGAGAAGGAGAGAGGAAGAGATTATTTAATCTAAAATTATTGACTATCATCATATTCCGTATCGGATTTTTATCTTTTATTACACTTTATTTTTTTCTTTTTATAATTGAATTTTCTACAAGATAACTAAACATTTGCAATATATGTATATAAATTAAGAAAATTTTATACTTAATTTGCATAAGATTCTTGATTGAGAATAATTTTAATTTCAAAGGATTAAGGCAAAATTGCCGTCGTCGATGGTATTATGACCAAACCGACCAAACAGATATCCATATCTTTTCATTCCACTATCGATATGGATGAACATGAAAAGATCTTGATGACAGGAACATTGGAACAGAGGAAGGAGGCCTTTAAAGAGGATGAGGAGCTCATGAGAGAAACCACGAAATTTATCAGTGAAGTAATAGAGACGGCCGCTACAGAGGCTTCGAAAAGAAAGATTCAATCGGAGGTAAATAAACTTGTGATTTATTCAATTTATTCAATTAAAGAAAATTTCATGACAGTAAACAAAAAGTAATGAATTAATTATCAATGAGTCAGTGTTTATTATATTGTGAAAATCGAGCAAGTTCAATATTTCTTTTTTATATTTCAGGGAGCTGAAGGTGAAGGTAAGTACAAATCGGTTTTACGTTCTGATTCTTACTGTTTAAATGTTCTAACTTATACGGGATTGAAACATTCTTAATTGACTCACGTCGGCTATAACGAAGGAAAAGAAGGTGGATATAAATAAAATGGTAAATACTTTATATTCTGGGAAAGGTAGAGAAAAAAAGTAAGTATGTGAGAAGATCAAACAGATAATAATTTGAAAGTAGACGGCTAGATTGCTAGAGATAATTGAAGAAATTTATAGATGTCAGTGAACGTAGGTAATCATTAAATAAGTATAATTTATTCAATAGATGCATATTTGAATTGACGAATAGAAATATGCTTGTGTTTGTGTAATATCTCTGTACAATACGGGAAAATATGAAAATGATCGTATAGATACAAGCAAGATTATAAATAAGATCGATGTTTATAAGCTAAACATTTTATTTATTTATAAGTTAATTATTTAATCTTTTATTAAATACAGTTATTAACTTGTTTTCTTTGAAATTTTTTTTCTTACATATTTTCTCGTGCCATCAATAGCAACGGAGATATTTCAGATGATCAAGTTGGGTGGGACACCCCGTAGAGCTACTTGCAAAGTAGAACATGGCGCAATTATAATTACCTTTCGAGATTGATATTTATAACATACTGGCTATTCGTGTGTGCGCAGGTAGTAGATTGAAGGGTGGCGATACCATCACTGGCTGGAACAATCGAGCGCGTGGATTCTGCAATCGTATTCTGAATGCGCTTTGCCCGTGCTTCACTAACCATGGTAAATCGTAGAGCGATTCATGTAGTGACTGCCGCCACGCTATTACCAGCCTCCTTTACAAACAAGTAGTTTTGCATCGTGCTCTCTCATCATCATATCGCATCATCATCGATCAGACTGCAGATCCTCCCATATATCACCTGCAGGTAGATGAAAAAAATTAGTCGATCACACCGATCAATTCGAATAGCGATCAAAGCGATCGTTCTAATTCCTCCGCTAATTAACGAAGAACAATATTCTTGATCTTTATATACTTCAATTTATTCCATTATCTCTCATATGAAACAATGACTGATTGCCGTCGAATCGTTCGGTATTCATTCAGTAATCATTCAGTAAATCATTCAATTATTCGTTACGATCCTTCAATGTATAGATGTTTGAAATATTCATCATTAGACGTTCTATTTTGTTGCAATACGCGCTTATCTCGCAAAATTTCGATCACTGTCATATAAATCCATTAGATGATATTTAAATTTCTTCACCTGAACATTTGTATAAATCAATTAACGGATCCATAGCAATCTGGCATGTTTCATCATCGGAGTAGTAAGCGCAACTGGAAACGGCAGCTTGCATCGAAACAGACTGCAGACTGAAGATAGAGAGCGGAAGTTAATTATCAGTTAAAGAAGAAAAAGAAATATTTTATTTTCAAACACAAGCGAGCTGAACGTTTTCAGAATGCATGTTAATTTTGTATCCCAAGCAGCGCGTAAACGACGAAATTATAGTGACGTTCTCCGCGCTAGTACCACTTGCATGTTAAAAGTAATTAGATGAAGAAAAGTAAGAAGATGTGTCAAGTTAATGATGGATACACAATGGATATGTATTCTTTTCCCTTAGAACTGTTCGCCTGGACTCCGTACCGGTATCGCTTCACAAGACCTTAACCGTTCGATGACTCCCCGGATTTTTCGTTCCGTCGTGCGAGCTTGTTACAAGTAAACAAATAAACAAAATAATATCAAGTTTTTTCTATTGTCAATTCGTATTTTGAATCGTGTCTCTCGTACAATTAAAGACATTGCGTATCTATCTGAAAATCGGTGCAGCTTTCTAAATCTCTCTTTCTAAATCTGACTGAAGTAGAATACGTCGTTAGGAAAGATATTAATTGCTATTAATTGCGTGTAAACAATAGGAGATTACTGCAATATGATATATAAATCGTCAATGTCAAAATAAGTCCTGATTATTAATTTTCCTAATGTCTTGTGAAGAAAGACGAGAGTGTTTAATCTGCTGTGACTGCTGTGCAGCCGAGCGTGAAAGAAGCTATATTAGTGTTCAATGGCAGAGATAACTGTAAGTATAATTGGAAGTGGCTCATGTACTTTATTTTAAGGCAGACGCTTTATAGAGTAATTTGATTAAAAAAAAAAAAAAAAAAAAAAAAAAAGGAAAAAG